AAATTAAGAACTTCATGATCAGGAGTACTAACGATGATAGAAGGGCTAGCCATAATAGCAAAACCAACGATCTAACACATGAGCACACAAGAAGCAAGCAAAAAGAGACGAACGGAAAAGAGGCGAGCGGAAAAGAAGGCGAATACAACGGCAATGGTGAAGTGGGGGAGAGAAAAACGAGAGGCAAATGGAAAATAATGTAATGCGAGGGATAAGAGTTTGTGACGGTACTTGATATGTCTTGAATTGTGCGTAGATCTCTCCGACAACGGCGCCAGAAATGGCTAGTTGCTGGGAGACCAAATCTTGACTTGACTTGGTGCAACCTCCCCGACAACGGCGCCAGAAATCCTTCTTACTACCTCTTGAGCATGCATTGGTTTTCCCTCGAAGAGAAAAGGGTGATGCAGCAAAGTAGCGTAAGTATTTCCCTCAGTTTTTGAGAATCAAGGTATCAGCCGTGTGCGGTGCCCCCCTCCACCATAATCCACCTCGATTATATCGTAGCGGTGCTTACGCGAAGCCCTGCGTGGGTAGCATCATCATCACCGTCATCACGCCGTCGTGCTGACGAAACTCTCCCATGAAGCTCTGCTGGATCGCAATTTGTGGGACGTCATCGAGCTGAACGTGTGCTGAACCCGGAGGTGCCATGCGTTCGGTACTTGGATCGGTCGGATCGTGAAGACGTACGACTACATCAACCGCGTTGTGCTAACGCTTCCGCTTTCGGTCTACGAGGGTACGTAGACACACTCTCCCCTCTCGTTGCTATGCATCACCATGATCCTGTGTACGTGCGTAGGATTTTTTTTTAAATTACTACGTTCTCCAACAGAAATGCCACTCTCCTGGAACAATATCCGGTTTTACACAATATTGTGCGTCACAAGAGTGATACTATCGCCACGGTAATGGAATCATTTCCGTCAAATGTGACATTCAAAAGGGATTTATTTGGACCCAGACTACAAACGTAGAACATCCTGCTCCAGCGGTTGCCCACGGTGCAATTGTCACATGGGTCCGATGTATTCCGATGGAACCTACATGAGAATGGACAATTCTAGTGGAGTCTATGTATAGAGTGTTAATCCAGTCTGATGTATCAGTTGATAATAACAAGAAGATCTGGAAGATGAAGATACCGCCTAAGAATAAAATCTTCGCATGGTATCTTCGTCGCGGAGTCATTCTTACTAAAGATAACCTTATTAAGAGAAATTGGCATGAAAGTTCACAATGTGTCTTTTGTTACCATGATGAGACAATAAAACATTTATTCTTCCAATGCAAATTGGCTCGTTCTGTATAGTCAGTCATCCAAATAGCTTCTGGCTTGTATCCTCCTTATAATGTTACTAATGTATTTGGCAACTGACTACATGGGATTGGTCTCAGGTTTAGAACCCTTCTCAGGGTGGGAGCGATTGTTGTTATTTGGTCACTTTGATTGTGTAGAAATGATAAGGTTTTTAACGATAAAAGTATTTCTCTTATGCAGGTCATCTACAGATGTAACGGGACTCTTTGTTATGATCCTCTCCACAACGCGTGGAGAATCGAGACGTGTTTATGGAGGTGTGTACTCCCTCCGTTTCGAATTACTTGTCGCAGGTATGGATGTATCTATATGTATTTTAGTTCTAAATACATCCATTTCTGCGACGAGTAAGATACATCCATTTCTGCAACGAGTAATTTGGAATGGAGGGAATACATGATTGGAGGCTACAGCGATGGATACTTTTACCCAACATGGGTGGCAGCAGGATTGGCCCCCTCCGCTTCAGCCGTTATACGGATACTACATGTTTTCCTTGTATTTCGTCTGTTTATATTTTTTTTTATTTGGATGAGAGGACATTGTTTAGCTATGTGCATCTTACTTATACAGAGGCCGTGTGTAACGCTTAAATCTTTTAAGTAATAAAGCGTCCCTTTAAAGAAATAGAAACAAAGCTTTAATTGAGGGGAAATTCATCAAACAACCTGCTGATGCCATGTACAAAATGATAATTTTCTTGCAGTTATGGTTGCTCTTGAGTAAGTCGACGGATGCGTCCACCATTGAGGAGCTGATACACGCTTTGAGAACGCTCGCAGCAAGGCTTCGGCGGCACAGGGAGGATTCTGTTATGCCTGGAGACTGATCCTCCGTTATCCTCATATATTTTCGTTTTCGCCCGGCCATGTGGCTTACCCATGTGTGGCTTGTATCGAACCCTTTTTTATTTTCGTTTCGCTATTCTGGTTGTAAATGTTTTAAGGGATTCAGTTTGTCAGTCGTCGCTAGATGGTCTACGGATCTGAATGTAATTTTCATTTTTGATGTTCGTTATACTGTCATGATTGAAGATGAATAGATTGAAAGTTTTTTCGAAAAAAAACAGGCAAACGCCTTCTCTCTAAAAATAAATATAAAACAACATAAAAAACAGATGTCTTCGTTCGTATAAACAGCTCGGTTTACACCTGGAGACGCTCTGTTTACGAAATAAAATTCAGGGATCCGCCACTCCCGAGCAGGCACGGCACACAGCCACAGGCAAGCGTCCATCCGTCACGACAGCGACGGCCGCTGCCGCGAGGCGATACCGGCGGGAAAAGCTGCCGGGTGTCCGGCGCCAGGTCACGGCGCGCACGGGCCGGAGGAGCGCGCGCCGCGTGGAGCGGGCGAGCGAGCGACGCTTCTAGCGGCCGTCCAGGTGCGCGCGGCGACCACGACCTCGCCCCCTCGCCGTACCGGTCGGGCCAGCCAGTGGGAGGCCGGATCGTGTGTGGCTGGCCGCCGGCACAGCGACCGCGTCTGGCTAGTGCGGCACTCGCCGGCAACCAGGCCTCGGGGTAGACTGACACCGATGCTGCGATGCTACTGATCTTTTAGATTAAGTATCCAGCGGAAGAAGACAAGCGCTATCGTACAGCATAAAATCTCTTGATGGAATTGGGAATATATCATGTATGATGATGTGGCGAGAGAAACCGCCTAACGTGTACCGCACAGTAAGGTAGGCTGCATTTCTTTTTCTTTTTTTAAATCTATGTAAGTTATGCTGCATGATGACATAAACATGTTGTGTGGCGTGTGGCTTGGAACTATTGGAACAGTCCCGGGAACGGTCAATGCTGATTTGTATTCTCAGTTTCATCGAGAAATGAATTTCGAATAAATACAATAATTCGGAAAGCAACATAAATATTGTTATTATTTTTCACTTTAATATTATTTATTGATCTATGAGTATCACCTATATCTAATGGAAGTAAGAAAATGAGGCGTGCCTCATTTGTGAGTCATTATGTGCATCCAGGATTAAAATGAGTGTTTGTATTTATCCTTATGAGCACCACTGAACGAACATCATCGAAAACACTGAAATAAATTCAAAGAAATGCGAGCACTAGTGCCAAGTCTAGGATATGAACCCTAATGGGTTGATTCCACCACAAGAAATCTAACCATCTGAACATATCAACATGTGAAAATGAAGCACTACATGTAGTTGACACAACAAATCATAAAAGAAACACAACAAATTCTACAATATGTTTTTCTCAAAACTAACCCGTAGTAGTAGACACAAAAAAGGACATTAAATGAATGAGAGGTTTCAATTAAGACTGTATGCCTCAAAATTCTTGTCAAAGCGACACCTGAAGTTCAAAGCCATTGTGCTACCATTGCTCTCGCCAACAATGGATACCATCGAGAGATTTAACCACCCAAGTTTATGCAGAGACTTATGGATCAAACCTCGTTAATTCGACGCAACAACGGGTTGAGGTGTATGATGGCGATTGACGACATGCGCTAGACAGGCCACCGCACCAATATTTGCAAGAACATGTTGATGACATGCTCCGAAAGCAAAATGAAGTTGAAAGTCGTTGCACCACCATTTCTCTCATCACGATGGACCACATAAAGACTTGTAAATGACCAAATCTCGTTAATCACCATAACAGACTGTCGTGTATGATGGCGGATGATAATCATATGAAGCATATCAGTGGATCACCATCCTGATCTACATAAGCCAACCCACCAATATCGTCATAATAGAATGACGACATGCTCGTAAAGGCCTGAAAGAAGGGACTAGTGAAGAAGATGATGTTGCCGTCGAGTCGATGGAACCACACCAACGGGACGAAAACTCTCAAGCTCCTCTCAGCAATGCCGGATCAACCAACACCGAGATGGGATCTAAGTCGGAGAACTTTTATTCGACACATCACCTTCATTACCATCATCAAGACAACAAAAGCTAACCAAAAAGACGCTACCATATAGAGAACAAAATGCGAGAAATCATTTCGGCGGTGGAGGGATGGGCGGGGACGTGGGAGGGGTTTACAATATGAACACAGACACTACAATCTCATACCATCGAATTTTTTTTACTGGAATCTCATATCCTAAAGGCGCCAATTACACAAATGAGCTACAGCAGAGCACGGGTGAGACGAGGCCGCAGCCGATCCTATCTTATCTTCACCCTGTTTACCCTGGCACCCACAGTATACGTCACCTGCCCAGCGGGGCCAGGTCAGAAAAAGGCTAAGAGGAAGCAATCCAACGGGCTGCCGGCGCGCCCGATCCGACGGGAGATCAAATCAAACGCCGAACCCGCGCGAAAGCACGGTCAATCATTGGCCAATCGACGGCTATAAACCCCCCGCCCCATCTTCCCCGCCGATCACCCTCACATCACATCGCGCCGGTCAGTGGTCACTCGCGCCGTAATCACACACGCCCTCCGTAACACTCGTGCGAGGCGCGGAAGCCACGAGAAGCCGAGAGCACGCGCGCGCGCACGCGACGCCAACCGACGCGCCTCCCCCACGTTTCCAGGGCGCTCGCCCGGCCGGCCGGCCCCCTCTGCTCTGGCCTGCCAACCAAACCAACCACCGCCCCGCGCTGGTTCAGGAACCTCCCGACGGGGACGGAGCGGCGATGGCCGGGAGGACGGCCTAGGCGGGGGAGCGGCGAGCGCATGGCGTCGTCGAGGGTGATGGCGTCGTCGTCGTCGTCGTCTAAGCCGCCGTCGCACACGGCGTCGGATCTCGCGCGCTTCGCGCAGGCCGCGGGGAGGCCCGGCGGCGGGGGCGGCAGCGGGATGGGGTCCATGAACGTGGAGGAGCTGCTCCGCGGCATCTACGGTGACGCCCGCACGTCGGCGCCCGTTCGGCCGGCGTCGCCCGTTATCCCGCCCGTGGCGGCGCCGCGGCAGCAGGCGGCCCCGCGGCGGACGGCGGACGAGGTGTGGAGGGAGATCACCGGCGGCAGCGGCGGGGAGGAGGAGGCGGCCCCGGCCACGGCTGGCGGGGCCGGGGAGATGACGCTGGAGGACTTCCTGGCGAGGGAGGAGGGCGCCGCCGTCAGGGGCCCCGGCCCTTCCGCGGCGCCGGAGGAGCAGGCGGCGATGCCGACGATGGCGCTTCTCGGCGGGGCGGAGGGCGCGCGGGGCGGCGGGAGGGGGAGGAAGCGGCAGCTCATGGACCCCATGGACCGCGCCGCGATGCAGCGGCAGAAGCGGATGATCAAGAACCGCGAGTCCGCGGCGAGGTCGCGAGAGAGGAAGCAGGTGGGCGGTAGAAACTCGTTACGTACTGCTTTTACTTTTACAAACACCGATCAAAAACTCCTCCTGATCATGCGAATTTGACTGAGTGGTTTGGCGGTAATATTTTGGTTCGTTCAGGCCTACATAGCCGAGCTCGAGTCTTTGGTCACGCAGCTCGAAGAGGAGAACGCCCACCTGTCCAAAGAGCAGGTATAGAATGTGGTTGTGCCCTTTCTTCTTTCCTTTTTAAGAGAAAATAAGTCGGGTTTCCATGGCTAGATCTTGCATTGCATGTTTTTTTCAGTGCATCTGTGTTCCATTAGCTACAGTTTTAGCAAACTCTCATGGTAATATGTCTTTGGTGTTTTCTAGGAGGAGACAAACCAGAGGCGGCTTAAAGAGGTATGTTCATGATATGTTGCTTTTAATTCTGTATCATGTTTGTAAGTGTAGAAAGCACCTCTACTTTCCCACATAATAACATGCCACACAATTCAAAAGTGATTACGATTTCATTTGCTGAAACAAAACATAATCTACCTTGTTAAAGTAGCTAGACTGCCCTTCTTCCCTCAATATCAATAGCTAGGATTTTGAGCGGACTAATGGCAGCATGAAGCTCAATAGCCCTGGTTTTGGATCCCATGACCTCCTTTACTCTAGAAATTTCAACCTTCTGAACATTTGAAGATATTCCACCACTTGGTGGGTCAGTTATTCGCGGTGTTCTATCAAATACTTTCAGAAAGCACAAGTCAGCTACCATCTTTAGTCTGCCAACATTCTTCAGTAATCAGTATACTTAAATTAATTCATAACAGTGCTTTGATCTTGTGCGGGAATACACGTTCCAGAACATATCCATGCTCACTGTATGCCCATTAATGCATCAGATAAGCATGCTCTATGGTCTCTCTGCTCTGGACTGTATGATGTGCTGTGCATCGGCAATTTGTCACTTCAATGAGCTAACGTGCTCAAGGCCCCTAACTGGCTGCCCACTAAGTGGCTTGTCAATTAAGTAAGATGCGATGTCGACAGCGTTCGGCCGCGTCCACACATGACGAGCCACATGCCAAGCGTGAGGTCATCTATAGTTCCATGCCATTTTCTTTACTTTGGAGCTTGGACCCTTTCCAACTCAACATGGCTACATTTCATAGGTCACGGGATTAAAATAGTTATCACAGCCTGCAGGTTTGCCTAGAACTTTACTGTGACATCACACATTTGTTAAACTGAGTCATGTGTGCGTCCTATGTACTCACACAATGAACAATGATCTGCATCTCATCTTGGAAATAGTTCACCTCCAGTTGATTTTGCAGACTGGTTGCCTTCATAAAGGAAATTTCTTTTAGGCGCCATAACTCGTATTCCCATAACTTGTATATATATCTCGAGTTAGTATGTGCCCCCATAACTCGTATTCCAGAAAGAAAAAAATCCCCTGACTTAGTGGTTTTCAGTTCATTTTAGATGCTTGTCTGAAGAAATCTATTTACTTCATGCAGCTCAAGGAAAAAGTGACTCCAGTCATCATTGCAAAAACGCCGTCGCAAGATCTTAGAAGAACAAACTCAATGGAGTGGTAGACATGAGCCAAGCTCAACAGCCATCCCCTTACAACTATATAGATTTTGATTTGTTTGCCTGCCATTCTTCTGTTTACTGGACTTAACTCAGTTGTTGTAACTTAGTAGAAATAGCATAAACAACTTAAATGGAATCATAATGTGTAGAGCGGAAGGCTGCATTTGAGCAAAAAGGAGTCGCATCAGCAGCTTATATTCTGTCTGATCTGCCTTCTCTTTTTATTTGCATTGCAGCCAGTATGTATGGCAATGTAGAGCACAATTTTTTTCCCGAAAAGGAGGATTACCCCCCGGCCTCTGCATCACCATGATGCACACAGCCATGATAGAGCACAATACATACAGAGCATCAAAATGGTGTGCAAACATAATGCTAGAGACATATAGCGAACAGAATAACGCCGCAAGGCATGAAACACAATAAGTAAGCGAACCATAGGAACGCTCAAATGTAGCATTCGTATTGTAAGCCAGCAAAGCTTATCAGCATAACTCTGATGATACAAGAACCAACAAGAAACTTCCGCCCCCAAGGATAACCGCTACATGATACAGGTTGTGCCTGGAAATTAGAGTACCGACGTCATTCATAGTGCTCAACATGGTCGGTCTATAAGAATGGGGGAGAATATACACAATGGTTCTTGGATGTATGATCAAAGGATGCTCATGCACTCTCGACGCCTTAAACCCCAATCACCGAGAGAAGATCCTGCCTAACATCGGCAACGAAGATACTTCCAGACCCGCACCACCCAGCAACCACATCTGTATTCGCACACTGCAGATCAGAAACACATTCCCGCATTAGGGACTTTGACAGTGCATTTGTTGCGCTTGTATGCATATACTCCCTCCGGTCCTTTTTACTCTGCATATTAGGTTTGTTTGAAGTCAATCTCATTCAACTTTGACCAAGTTTATATAAAAAATTATAAACATTTACATAACAACACCAATATCATTAGATTCGTTTTGTAATATATTTTCATATTATATTTATTAGATATTATAGATGCTAATAATTTCTAATATAAATTTGGTCAAACTTAGCAAAGTTTGACTTTCGGCAAATCCAATGTGCAGAGTAAAAAGGACCGGAGGGAGTATAATTTTTTGTCTGAGGCTATTTTTCCTCCCACTGGGGTGGGGGCCAAGGGGTACCTTTGAAAAGCCCAGCCAGTTCGAATCACCTCGAAATGAGAATGCGTGCTTACTTTCTCTCCAGCGTCCACAAGTAATCTGCAGTGATATTACATGTTAGAGTAGCTACAATTTCAGCGGACGTGCAAAAGTATCATAAGAGCTCATTGCTTAAGCTGAACCATGATGAAGTTCTCCACTAGATTACAACTATCCAGGAAGAGAAGTTCACTGCTGCCATTTCCATCTTTTTCCAGAAAATACAAATCAATAATGTCATCTCCAAAAGAGGAATTTGCTACAATTGCCTGAGCTACCGAAATTCTAGAAAATACTCCCTTCGTTCCTATATATAAGTCTTTGTAGAGATTCCAATATGGACTACATACGGAGCAAAATGAGTGAATCTACACTCTAAAATACGTCTATATACATCTGTATGTAGTTCATATAGAAATCTCTAAAAAGACTTATATTTAGGAACGGAGGGAGTAGCAAAGATGTCACAAAATAAGCTGAGTTTCTATCATCATAATTAGGCAACCATAAACAAAAATCACACCATATGTAACAGACAGGCAAAAAGTACTAAGCAGCACTTGTAGCTAGAGAAGTATGAGATACACAAAGCAAGGTCCAAGGGAAATTAGTTGGATGCACACCTCATAATCAACACCTTGGACGTATATGAAGGATTGGTCCACTGACGAAAACAAAAGACCAGTAATCTGGAAGGCAAATACACTAGCTGAGAACTCCATTGCTTCATGAAACATGGAATCTTCATTTCGCACTTTATGATACATTTAATAATAAATGTTCAGGTAGTTTGATTTTAATCCACTGTACCAGCTACAGAAAGTAACATCAGAAGAAGGTACACCAACCTCATACTTGGAGCAGCCCACCCATCTTGATAAGGCTGACCACCTATACACAAAACAAACTGAACTTTCAATCACTCTGGTACTGCAGTAAACATGCAACTGCATGTCAGATCCTTGAACTAAAAGAAGAAAACAAGCAACCCAACCTGCGAGGATCATAGACTGTGACAGCACGATCAGTTCCACCGACAGCAATCAGTCCTGAAGGAGAGGTACAGACTGAGTATAATATGCCTCCAGTAGGACCAGAAATGCGTTGTACACATCCACCGTTGTTATGCATTCTGAAGTCCCAGATGCTCAGCTGCAATTAACCACCATGTGAAAAGAGCGTAGAGGAATGTA